TAGAATTAGACATTCTTTCAGAATCAGCCACTGCCTTTCAGTACAGTTTCGAATATTTACTGTGCCAGAAATGTTCGAAATGTAAAGTGAAATCGCACATTTTTGTTCATCGATTCTTTCCAACATATAATACGTGCTGTTCTACCCCGTTGTGACGTCCTATACAAACTGATGCTCAGCAAGATTCAGTACCATTCTTAAGTGGTTGAATTGTGTCACTATTCTTCTAGCAGAGGTCAATTCATCATTTACGTTTACAATCTGTAATGAAGCTTTAATCGCCAATTGCAACGTATATATAAAACACCCCTTGCCTACAAACAGACTTTCATCAATGGCTTTCACCATATTGGGACCATTATCTCTCATAATCACGTAGATATGCGAAGTTATGTCCCAAGTTGCAGATAACTCTTCCAAAACAGAACGAATAAGATCATCTGAGTAAAAGTCAGTAAAATTTTTCGTTTGCAGAACTCTATGTTGTAGAACAAAGTACTTATAAAGCCAGTGTACAGTGAAGCTAAGCTAAGCATGTTGTTCAAACAAGTCTCTACATATCAGATGTAATCTAAACAGCTTGGGCTTATGAGATTTCATCCTTGATCAATTATTTCACTCTTTCATAAATTGTCGGAACCACTACTTCGCATATACTTCTTTCCAGGCAACTAATATTTAAACTTCAATAAATGCAATAACCTGTTAAATCCTTTATTTTCCAGAATTTAAATTGGTTGACTGTCAGTGGTAATCATTTCAGCGATGGCGTTATGAATTTCCTTTGATCGGGGGTCTGTTATGTCCCAATTTGTAATAAATGCCTCTCTATAGATTGTTGTGATTTTACATTCGACGTTGTTGGCAAAGTTTCTGAGCTATACTAAGTGTCAGAAGCACTTCCAGCAGTAGACGTGCTTGCTGGCAGTTGTTATTTATGCTTCAGTTTCAAATGATTTGTCATACCACTCGTTAAAGCGCTGCGGCCTGATCCACCGCGAGAAATAATACAACTACATAAAGTGCACTTCACTTTTGTTTTATCATCTTCTATTTCGCTAACCTGCTTACGCGGCAAAACAATGAAATCGTAAACCGAATAATTCGGCCGAATATCCGGTTCGGTACAGGTTAAACCGAATATTATTCGGTATTCGGTTATTCGGCAAAATCACTATTCGGCGCATCTCTACTGAAGAGTATAATTTGCCACTTTGCCTATCGTATGTGTCTTTGATTCCGTCGAAATTTGGGCGGTGCAACTTGTGTATGTATTACAGTATTCTATGGGTGCTACAGTCCCTTCAGGGATGCCAAGTTGACTGTGGGTATATCGATGTGCTAAAGTACAGTAGGGCTACGATATCTATCCGAGTACAGAGCCCATCCAACTGCAGAGAGGTGTAAGACAGGGTGACAGTTCTTGAGTGGCTGCCTCGTACCGGTAGGCGAAGTGTAGAGCGATCCCCCACTAGATATAGTGACGACCTGGTAAGACATGCAGGAAGTCGATGGATGCAGGTGTCTCGGGACCGTGATTTGTGGAATACCTTTGGTTTTTTTTTAAAGTATAGGGTGACAAACGAGCACACAGCCCACCTGATGGTAAGTGGCTGCTGTGGCCCATAGACATCTCTACATTTATCCTCGTTTGCGAATCAAAATGCAGATACGTTGCCACCCTTGAGGACAAAGATGGAATACCTCATTTCTAGTAAAAAGGGTCTCCAGTTCTCTACGCTCACCATACGAAACACAGCAGTGTTAAGCTGCTATTTGACGCTGGTATTCTGTGAGAGCGTGGTGGTATTGGTGAGGCCTATGTTCAGCAGTGGACTTACGAATGGCTGTAGTGATGATGATGATGTCACAGACAGATTGACGATCACAATACTAATCATCTTTTAACTTACCAACACATTGCTTTCTAGTGCTAATATTATAGGCTGATCTATTTATAGCAGAAATCTAGGATAGTTTAAAGTTCATACGCCAGAACGTTGATAAAGTTAGACACTAACGCTAGACAAACACTAAATTAGTTGTAAATTCACTACTGGACACCTTTTCTGCCTAGTCCATCTAGGTAGGTACCACTCTCGTACCGCTTTCTGTCGCCAAATAGCAGTGCTTGCACTGCTATATTCCGATCTGAAGGGTAAAATGATCCAGTTCAATTACAGGCTGTGAGGTATTCCCTATTAGTCCTCATATGTGTTCTTTCTTCTTTGTTTTTAATCTGTTGCAGATGTCCTTTACCATCAGATGGACTGTAAGTTCGGTTGTCACTTCACTTTTATAAAATACTAGCTGTGCCCCGCGACTTCGCCCGCGTGGAATTTACTACAATTTCATGGATATCAATTTTTTTTGCGCGGAACCTAATTTTGTTTGTGAGTAATGTTACCGTCTTATAAATATTAACAAATATTGACATTAATATTTATACGATACTAACGTCACTCAATTGTTTTTTCTTCCCGGAACCAATCCACTAACACTTAACTTTATGGTATGGTATTAAAGTTCGAATTGACTTTTAAGTATTATTACGATTTTTTTTTTATGGGAATATAGAAAAGTGTTGTTTTTAGACTTTTTCAGGCAATTTTTAAATTTTTCACTCCGTAAGAATCATCTTCGTACTTCAAGGAATATTATAAAAACAGGATTAGTGAAATCGGTTCAGCTGCTCTCGAGATTTGCGCTTAGCAACACATTCAGCGATTTATTTTTATATTATAGAATAAACATAGTAGGACTCCAGCAGGACTAAATACCGCAACGCTAATCGATTGCGGTTCTCAGGCAGCCAATTGCGCCTTTTTGTCGATCGGCATAATGATATTGTGACAGTGACTGTGAGACCGACAGGAAACTCGAGCCGAACCCACCATGTAGGAAGTCTTGTGTTTCAGTCGCACCAAACAGAACGGAACGGAACTGGGATCTCCATCAATTCAATTTCACCTGTTTTGCTAACGTTCATTATGTAATTCACTATTAGGCCCGGTCTTCTGATGTGTGTGTGATTTGGGGCCAATGATTCATTCGAAATTTGAGCAATACAACTGTATTTTCATCGATATCAGATTGATTGTCGATTTCGAATATTTCGTAGTAAGAATAAAATTTATTCAAATAGCTTTGTGTAAAAAACGAGTTAAACCACCTAACAGCAAACTACTATTGGCACTTCAAATAGAATATAGCAGTTGGTGCACTTCTGCTCAGCAGCAAATATACGTAATTTAGATAATGGAGCCGTGCTTTCTAGTAAAACCTGGATTTTGCTTTGTCTGGTGTCTCTTTCCTGCAAATTCGATTTACCAACGATATAATACGTCAATAGACGGCAGCACTTCAATCAACAACATCTGACGTATGTCTTAACGTGTTGAATGAACATTTACAAGGTGATGATAATGTATGTGTAACTCTATGCTGGTAATTTTTAGGGTTCCATAGTTACGCGAAAAGGAACCGTCCGTCCGCGGTTTTACTCAGAAATGTACTACAAATCTGTAAATTAGCATATTTTTAGATATTAATCATCCCTACAAAATAAGTAAAAAAAATTAACAAGTTAACGAGCAATAGTCAACGAACTTATAAAATGCACTTGGATTAGTAAAAATGTTGTTACAACTCCATAGAAAATGACCTAAAATAACTGCATTATAACTTTGTAATGTTATTGTAAACTGTAAGAAATAAACATTTTACGAAGAAAACGACTTATATTCATTACTACTATAGCTTTAATTTACGCTTATTTATTAATTTCGCTTATTTTTTTATTGGTAGTTCTTGTAGGCCGCAATTTCGATACTTCGGTATTCATACAATCACAGAGCCTCATACTCACCAAACTCACAGACCCTCAGGATAATTTAGGGCAGTGGTGGTTTACGGAAGGTTCGTTACGGTTATATATACATATCTTAAGCTTGCACTGCCGGGAACATATAGATAGATAGTCAACTACGACCACCTTTGTACGGACATGGCATGTGAATGATTTGATGTAAGTTTTATTATTTTCAAAATCGAAAAGTTTTTTTAATCTTTTTTGAATACCACTCCCTATAAGTCTGATTTTAAAAATAAGCCCTTCAGTTACCATCTTCCTATTTGGGCCCATTTTAGTCCTTATAGCGGTCAAACCGCGAACTCACTTATAATGCTCATTATCAAGAAACCCGTTAAATTAAACGCACGTATTGTGACGGGCAACTACGGAACCCTACCTCTACATTGTGCGTGGCTCGAAATGCACTTGGCCATTTTTAGATGATTATGAATGATGGACTAAACGGATAAGAATTGGTAGACTTCATAACGAAGGCGGAAATTTTTCTTTAGTTTCCTAACACCTCTAAAGAAATAATCAACATCGGTCGCCGCATATAAGTTTATAATTAATTATTCTTTAGTGACTAAGTGTGGTGGCAGCTAAAGATTATCCACATCATGTCAAAGGTGCGATCACCAGTCCACCTGCCAAACGTAGTGATTATTTTAAATTCTTCCTTCAAGGGACAATGTTCATGAACAGCAGCGTTAGTGTAAGGATAGCGCAGACCTACTGCAAGGTAATCAATGACAAATGATGGACTAGCAAAAAACAAACTACGTGTATATTATAATTCAGTAAATTGGCGGGTGTGGTGATCTTCTTTATTGTACTTACGTTTCTTATAAAATTATAATGTGAACTATATACTACATATATTGATGTATATTATTAGTAGACAGTAAATAAAAATGTATTGTAAACACTTTTCAATTTTAAGTATAAATTGGACACGTTAACAAATTTTTTAAACAGTTCGACCATACGCAATAACTTTTTCTGACTTCGGATTTTTGGAAACTTATGAATCATATGAGTTCATACAGTTGAATATATGTATTCAATTGTATGAACATATTATTTATTACAAACCACGCTTTGAAGCCTAAACAATGTGTAAACTTGCTTAAATCCGTCTCCAAAAATGATAGCTTATCTATTTCCAATGTTATTTTTGTTTATTGTCAGTAGGGAAAAAGTACAAGGACATCCGAAGAATTTAGCATGGAGCGGTGGACCTCTACATGTCGAATGCGAGCATGGTGTTGATCTCTGGAATAATGGTGGAAAACATATTAAGGAAAATGTTGTCGCAATCAAGGCTATTTTATTTAAAAATGAAATCTACGTCATGACTCCTCGGTAAGTTTATGCTTATTATTTAAATGTACAATATTACATTATAATAACAAATTATAATTTTTTTTTTCATATTATATCAACTTACGAGATGACTTAACAAATTAGAGATTTTTTTTCCTAAAATATTAATGCATAGAATTAAAAAAAAAACTTAATCAGGTGTTCATGATACAATCACGTTATCATAATATTTGTTCCCTAGATCATTAACATACTGTAGGATCAGTTCCAATCAATGCGGTGTATAAGCGTAAATCAATCAAAGCACGATCTTGTGCCATCTGCTTCCATCGACTTTCTGCAGCTCTTACCGAGTCTCTACATTTAGCGAGGGGCTGCCTTAGACTCCACTTACCGGTACAAGCCTGCCACTCGAGAACCGTTCTTCCCCATCAGCAAGCAAAAACAAAATACTTTTAGAACTCAACAAATTAAGAAATAAAAACTATACTGCCCCCCACTAGATAGAGTGACGATCTGGTAAGACATGCAGGAAGTCGATGGATGCAGGTGGCTCAGGACCATGCTTTGTGGCATTCCTTGGGGGAGCCTTTGTTCAACACTGGACTTGTGAAGGGCTGTAATGATGATGATGATGATGGACTATACTGCTAGCCTTTCAAAATTTTGACGCTAATTTAGTACTTTTTCATAGATTTTGACTGAAATTGATAGTGTCCTTTTAAAAAGCAATCCCTTAAAGCAGCTTAGAAACCCACACCTGGTTCAAAAGAAAGATTTCTTTTTCACTTTAACAGATTTAAGCATGGAGTGCTGGTGACACTGTGGCTGATAACACACGGTCGTCAAGGAGTGGAGCTTGAAGCTGTTCCAAGTGTAACATCCCACGCGTTAGGTGACTGCGAGGCGTTGCAGAACGCAGTCGACTGCTATCTTGACCACTTGGTAAGTAACTTTGAACACATATTCTGAATTATTTAGAAAAGAGGAGACAGGAGATAAGTGGTTTTTCTTCTCTCAGTTTTATTACATAATGTATAATAACAATTAGTACTTGCAAAATGGAACCTGGAATATCTACAACAATCCCAAAATAAAATCTAGATTTATGAGTCGATTTAAAAATTTGCTACTATGATTTCATTATGTTTAAAATTAAAGTAACAGCCAATATACGAGTACGTCCCACTATTAGGCACAGGTCTCTTCACATTTTTCCTGATCCCAAAAAGGTTTTATGTCAAGGAAGCTGCCACTGCGCTACCCCAATGTGTATTTTTTTAATATGCTTATTTCTTTAGGATGTTTAACCCTTACCACACTTAGCCCTTAAATAAAAGCTTAGTTTCATAGTACGCGTCTATACCTCATAATAAAGATTTTCCAAAATACTAAAATATATTATTTCTTCCTTCAATATTTTTTAACATCTCTCTTAACTATGTTTGCTTCTAAACAGCAGTGAGACCACTACCGTGTTCCAGGGATTATATGAACTTAGAGGGTTGTATTGGCGATTTTAATGATAACAATTCTGTAAATACATATTCGTTACGGTCGCGAATCATATTTTGTTAAACATACAACCTGACACCGACCTGTAAATTGCAATAAACGTAAGAAAATTTAAATTTTGGAAAGTCACAGTAAAAGACAGTTTTTAACGTGGTAGAGCCATGCTGCAGCTATATTAATAGTATAGTTGTAGCACGAATGGGTCGGCTCGAACAGAGAAGGACCACGCTCTCACAGAATACCAGCGTTAAATAGCAGCTTAACACTGCTGTGTTTCGTATGGTGAGTGTAGAGAACCGGAGACCCTTTTTACTGGAAAAGAGGCAATCCATCTTAGTCCTCACGGCTGACAACGCATCTGCATTTTGATTTGCAAACGAGGATAGATGTAGATGTCTATGGGCCACAGCAACCACTTACCATCAGATGGATTGTGTGCTCGTTTGTCACCCTATTCTGTAAAAAAAAGAAGCAGGCTTACAGACTATGAAAGGTTCTACCTTAGCAGGGGTATCAAAGTATTTGTAACCTTCTTTGTTGGTTGTAGGAAGGCACGAATGCGAATTTAAGCGGCCACAGTACTCGTAGCCACTTACTTTCAGCTCTGTTAGCTCTTCTGTTAGCTCTTATGTTACTCTGTAACGTTGCATCACAAATGGGTCAACTCACCCGAGGAAAATAGTAGCGTGCATAATATCAGGGCAATACAACAACTGACTCGTACTGTCTGGTGGTTGTAGTAGTGCGACTGCTGGTATCATGAGGCCCCGGGTTCGAATCCCGGGTCGGACAAAAAAAATCAGTTATTGAGCTTTTCCAGTAATTTGCAGTAGCTGCCCGGAGTCAGGAAGTTGCGGTGTCTCACCCTCGTGCCTCGGAAAGCACGTAAAGCCGTTGGTCCTGCGCCTGATCTCTCACCGGTCGAGTCGGTTTACCGTCCCATCGGACTATGAGAATAAGGGAATAGAGAGTGCACCTGTGTTTGCGCATACACTTGTGTACTATAATCCTGTCCCGCGCTGATAGCTAGTCGCCGTTGAGGCTGGCCACCATGACCAAAATTCGGTCTGGAAGACATTATTATTAATATCAGGTCAAATTATAGTAATTGTGAATTAGACCTGAATTAAAACGAATTAAAACGGGCTGAAGTATTGTTTAATACCTACAATATTTTTATATTTGAGTTCTTTAATAGTTGTACTTGGGTGGTGCGGTGATAGAGCCAAACATAAAAATATTGTCGGTATGAAACAATACATATTTCTGTCCGTTCTAAATTCTAATCCGTTTTAATTCGGATCTATTTCACAATTACAATAATTTGCCCTTCTATTATGCAATAATTAGTAGTACATAATGTTATGCAAAAGCGATTAACGTTCACATTACCTCTATGTGTAGTGAATATGCAGCGTACAAGTCATAATGATCATATTAATTCAGTGAAATCTATTAAAGGTGGAAGTTCTAAAAGGAAAAGGATATCTAAATTGATTACGCACACCCGTTAGATTGAACCTGTCACCATTACAATAGGTAATATTCGCTCTGAGTAAAGGAGCGAAACCGAGGGGAGCCAATCATGTTGTATGGTGGAGTATCAAGTCACGCTCATCATTATTATCATCTATCACCCTTATTACATAGCCCCTGTGATGAGCTAACCTCATTGGTCTAGTGGTAGTAATGGTAACTGATGTTCATGAGGTCCCGGGTTCGAAATCGAGTAGTGATTGAATTTTATTTCAAGAAATTCACAGTAGCAGCACGGAGTCACAAAGATGGCGGTGTTTTTTTTTATAGAATAAGGGTGACTAATGAGTTCATAGTCCACCTGATTGTAAGTAGATGCTGTGGCCCATAGACATCTACATCTTCCCTTGATTAAGAATAAAAATGCAGACGCGTTGTCACTACTGAGGACAAAGATAAAATGACTTGTTTCCAGTAAAAAGGGTCTCCAGTTCTTTACACTCACCATACGAAACACAGCAGCATTAACTATTTCACACTGGTATTATGTAAGAGCGTGATCCTTCCCCGGGTCAAACCAACCCATGGCTCTACCGCGTTAGAATGTTACGTAGTAATAAAGTTTCACCTACGTGCCTCAGAAAGCATATAAAGCGGTTAGTCCTGCGTCCGTCTCTCCGATAGCATTGGATTAGAACCCCTTCGAACTAGAAGTGTGAATAAATAAGGAGTGCACCTTTGCTTGCGCACACCCATGAGCACTATAATCCTGTCTTGTTCAAATGGATAGTCTCTGTTGGGACTGGCCGCCGTAACAGAAATTCGGTCTGCGGCACATTATATATTATGTACCTTCCTTTCTACCTACCTTCGAGCTATGAAATTCTCCTAGCTAACAGCACAAAAATTACCAAAAAACGCCGTCCACGACTTTGCGACGCAACCGCACCGCTGGAGAAGCCCAGGGGTAGAGAAGCATCGCTATTATAATGCACCGCTCTCCCTGTCCCTACCCTCCGCAGCCATAACATAGTTAGCATTGGAACCAAGGATCAGATCTGCCACTGAGGCATGGTTAATGCATCCGAGCGCGCGTTTTTCCTGACTTTATAGCATCTACTTATGAGACTCAGGAGAATTCCCAAGTGAGGATAGAGGCCATGGGTAAACGCACTTTGAGTTCCAGTGCGACTTGCAAGTAAAAATAAGAGAATACTAGGGAACATCAAGGTGCAAGTGGTACCGTGAATGTATGCAAAAACGTTCCTATGGCTTCACCGATTTGCGATGAAAGCGGAACACCATTGGAACTTAATCAGTGGAAGTCTGTCATATGTCCTTTTCCTTATGAGGCGGATAAGCTCACGCATTTTCCATCCATGAAAATGTCTCACAAGCTCCATAAATAACCGAGTGCTTCACTAAATTATATTTATAGAAACTAACCTTCCCGTTTATTAACGTTTCTGTATTCATTTAATATTAAAAACTTTTTTATAAATAAGAAAATAATGTTTTTTTTTTAATTTCACTTAAAACCGTAATCATCAGCGGTATTCTTAAGTCTATTGCTGGTCATTCCCTGTTCAACGTCTAAGTTCTAAAGTCACGAGCTGGCAAACATTCTTAAAAATCTGCTTTTATCAGGGATCACTTGAAGAAAATTACTCTTAACATATCTAAAAGTAGACCTGGAATCTCCAGGACCAAAAACATGTGCATTGACTGACCGTTTCGTCTACATGATTGTGATGTAAAATAAATTGGTACAGATAATGTAATATGTAGTCCAAATAAAATCGATAGAATCGATGCGAATTTAATGGAATCTAATCTAGAGACAAAGAGGTAGCGTTTAGCAAATAAAATTCCGCCATAAATCGTTACACAATGAGATCGCAAATAACAGGAACGCATATTTAATGTGCAAAAAAGAATGAAAAAACGAAATTAAAGCTTAGAATGAATTTTATATTATATTACGTTGCAGCAAAACAATTATTCATGTGCCCAAATTGAAATTAATGTACCTTAATAAAGACCTTGGTTATTTATAGAACATTGGAAACTTTTCCTTTAAAATGTGTTTACGAAATTTGTTTACTTAAATTACCTTTGTTACGTTTGTACGTAACTTAATTAGTAAATTTAACATTGTAATAGATAATAGCTGCCGTCGAAAGGGTAAAATAACAAAACAAACGAGCTGAGAAGACAAACATAGTTATGACCTTTGTATTAGCTTCATGGTTATGACGGCTCCTTAGCGCAGTGGCTAAGTATTTGGCTTGGGTGTGGTGCGGTGTGCCATTGCTTTCAAATAATTGTTCCTTGTTTGAATGTTTGTCCATGTGCAATCTCTATTTCCTTATATATAAAAATCATGCTTATTAGTCCCACTAAAACTTCAAAACGGCTTGAATGATTTTCATGATTTTTTCTAACGACTTCAAAAAGGAGACGTTACTCAATTCGACTGTATGTTTTTTTTTATTTGACAGCTGGTACTTCTCGTGTGATACCATATGAATTTAATCAAGGTCAGAGCAATAGTTTTTGAGTTATTCTTAATAACATATATTGAAGTCGGCTGTACAAAATTTTTAATTTTAAATTATTTCTAACGACTTCAAAAAGGAGGCGGTACTTAATTCGACTGTATGTTTTTTTTTATGTGTGTTACCTCATAACTTTTTACTGGTTGTACCGATTTCGATGATTCTTTTTTCATTTGAAAGCTGGTGTTTCACATGTGGTCCTATATAAATTTGTTCAAGATCTGACCAATAGTTTTTGAGGTATTCTTAATAATTTATATTGAAGTCGGTTGTACAAAATTTTTAATTTTTAATTATTTCTAACGACTTCAAAAAGGAGACGGTACTCAATTCAACTGTATGTTTTTTATGTGTGTTAGCTCAGAACTTTTTACTGGTTGTACCGATTTCGATGAT